CTCAATCAGTCTTTAATTTAAAATCTTGCAGCTTCTCAGAGGGCACTTTTTTATATTGAGTGCTATGACTGCTTTAACTCAATTCGTATATCACGAAAGAGACTTAATGAGTAAGTGAATATTGCAAGTTAAATAATTGGATCCTTGCAGTGCTGTGAAACTGTAATACATAGATAAACAGAATGGCTGTTCAGTAACAGCTTCTTTTTTTGGTGTTCTTAATTACAGTTAAAGTGATCTGTCTTGTTCCTCCAGAAAATCTTGAAAAATATGGAAATTAAGTGATATTTCATTGATTTTTTAAAAAAAAAAATCCATGTGAACTATTTTATGCCTTTGTATTCACATTTGCCTCTTCCATTTTTTCCACCAGTGTCTAATGCTAGTGTTTTGCTTCTTTTTTGTTTCTTTATTTTGTTGCTTTTGTTTGAATGTATTATTGTGTTTATATGGAACTGGTCAAAGAACCGTTACTGTATTTTATGTTTGTATCTACATTTTATTTTGCATGCTTAACGTGGCTTTGCCTGGATATTCTTTTTGGTAAGTTCAGAATTTAAAAGCATAATGTTTTTCTGTAGTAAAGTTTGTAACCTGCCACCTTCTTTTCTCCCACCTCAAGTAACGTCATTATTTTTTTGTCGTACTGATTTGTGCTCACGTACTGTTCTGCTTTTGCTAATTATACACATGATAACGCTGTTTTCCTAACAACTACCCATTTTCATCTCTAGCTGAGCTAAGCAATATGACTTTGGTACTAATGTGTACTAATTTGACTTTTATCTTCAAAGTATAGTCGGCAGCTGTTAAAACCATCTGTTTTGAGAACTCTGTGTGTATTGAGATGCACAGAACCTCAGTCTTAGAAAACCGTGTTAAGGCTTCTTTGCATAGGCCGATGGTTACTCTGCGCTTCACAGGTATTATTTTTCAGCAGTCTTCTCAAGATCTTCTCAAAACAGTGTGCATGTTTATGTTTCTCTTTTAGCAACAGCTTGCTCAGCTCCAGAAAGAAAAATCGGAGATTCTGAAGAACCTGGCATTATACTACTTCACGTTTGTCGATGTTATGGAATTTAAGGTAAGGTATTGCAAATATGTCAGTTCTCACATTAGGTTTCTGTTTCTTTATTTAAGAAATAATGCTATGTAATGAAACAGCTGAACTCGTGGCTCTGTTTTTTAAAAAAATCATAAAATCAGTCTCCATCACTAAGCATAGTAAAGTGATTTACTTATGTCTTTTTAAACTGAAATTACTGCTTTGTTTTTCAAGGACCATGTTTGTGAGCTGCTGAACACTATTGATGTCTGCCAAGTCTTCTTTGATATTGTAAGTTTCTGTATTTAAACTTTCAAATGCTACTTAGTGTTTCTAAAAAGAGTCCTAGAAGGAATTGTTCGTGTTAGCCCAAGAAATATGACATCCCTAGTTACAAATGCAAGAGAAATAAAAATACTGTAGTCTTCAGATCCCTGACTTTATAAATAGCTTGAAATCAAAAGACAGACTATTTTCAACAGTCTACTTCTGCACAGCAGTAACAGCATTGTCCGTTACCAGGCATACAAATCTTTCTGTAACTCTTGCTGTATTGCATCTGCAAGTTTATTCTTAGAGGTTCACTGTCATCTACGTGGTTAAGCCTTGTAAGCTTACAAAACAGGAATATTGCTGGTGTCCACCTAAGATATCTGAGGAGGTCACTTCTGGTGCTGGCTAAAACACGTACAAAAGCAGCTAAAGGTGTTATATTAAAAAAAAAAAAAAAACCACCAACGAAACCCAAAAACTTCACAACCAAACACCGAAACCACACACACACACACAACCCCCCCCCTCCCCCCCCCAAACGAAAACCTCAAACACCTTTTCCTCTTGGTTTCAGCTTGCTTTCTTAATGTTCATAATGTCATCTTGCTAGTTTTAGTCATGACTCTAAATTCAGCTTGGCTGACAAAGGTTCATAATATGAAAGAGGAGCAGGTATATATCCTATGGAATGATGTTACCAGGCCAGTTGGATATGTGCTAGCTTTTTACATCACAGAGTCTTATTAAAATATAATTTATAGGCAAAGCACTTGCTGATCACTTAGTAACATCCAAGAATAGTTTTCCTATCTGTCAACTAACCTGTGACAGTTAAGTCTGGAAAGGTTTATTTGCGTGCTTGCTTTCATGAATGTGAACAGTTCTGGGGATTCAAGTGAATAAATTCAGATTATACAAAGTCTGCATGCAACCAGAACAATAACTTTAATCAAGAGAGTCCATTGTATTTTAAAAATGGTGAAAGTTGGTGGAAAGGTAAGGAAAAAGTTTTGTGCTTGTTTCTAAAAGTTTTAGATAGATAATTTACTGGGTTTTTTCTCTCTAGACTGTAAACTTCGATTTAACAAAGAACTACCTAGATTTGATTATAACCTACACAACTCTAATGATATTGCTGTCTCGAATTGAAGAAAGGAAGGCTATCATTGGATTGTATAACTATGCCCATGAAATGACACATGGAGCAAGGTAAAAATCTGTCATACAAGAAATGTGTACGATAATAATAATAACAGTTATACCTGAGTGAATTGTTTGTTGTTGCTTTTAGTGACAGAGAATATCCACGCCTTGGCCAGATGATTGTGGATTATGAAAATCCTTTAAAGAAAATGATGGAGGAATTTGTACCTCACAGTAAAGTATGTAACTACTTTTCACAGGCACACAGTAACCTTAATTTGGAGAAGCAGAGATGAAAAAGAAAATATACAAGGGTTTGTTTTGTCAAAAGCCATTAGGTATAAATTTTACAGGAGATTTTACTTACAATGGATATATGGGCTGGGGATTGATGTTAGATAACAGAACCTATAGAAATACAGGAATGCTAAGACCCATTGGTAAGGTTCCATTTTATTCACTAAGGATTAGAAATTGATTAAAAATCAGTTGTGGATCATGTGAGAATAGCTACATCTGTGTTCTGGTTTGGTTTGTAGCTTGAAATAGAGATGGCTAATGTTTCTATGAAACCAGTTTTTTACTGGTTTACCATCCTAGATTTTTTTTTTTCTATTTTGTAACCTGAGGGGTTTTGCTTTGGCTTGTCCTTAAACTGGAGATCCTGGAGATACCCACTGCCTCTTTAATAATAGCTTCTGTCCTCAAAAGCTGACACTCTGTACCCTGCTTGGCTGACTTCACTAACTTAAATGAACCCACTTCCTGAAGCCTTTTCTGTACCAATGCTTTTAAGCTTGCATCCTTATGCAGCTGATTGTGCGCCAGTTCTGTGAAGATTCATCTAGGCTGTATTTTCATATAAGACTACCTTGGAAAAGTGACGGAAGCCTCATCCAAGTCAATGTATATCCTGTTTATCACTTCCAGTTGGTCCACTAGTCTTGCTGCTCTGACAAAGGCAACTAGATTTGCTTGATCAATACTGACTGACTGTTATTTATAAAGGTGTTATTTTCTCAGCACTTGCAATTTGATTGCCTGTCTACTTATTTTGGAATCTTTGGCAGGGGTTTTTTTGCTCTTTGAAGTCTAGATACTGGTTATGTTTTCCTTCTCCAAGCCTCTTGAGATTTTTCTTAATTTCCTTAAAATTTTGAAGATCGTCACCAGAAGTTCAGAGTTTTTCAGCTACTCCTCAAAGTGCTCTGAAGTGAAATAGTTTTTAATACTTCTCGTTTGTCTGCATAATCTGTAATCTTATTTTTGTTATACTTTCTTCTGCACGATTCCTGTCTTGTTAAGACTTACTTAGCTAAGAATCTCAGTTGCAATTAACCTTTTCTTGGACACATTTTAGCGAAGATGCTTTACTTTTCAGGTTTGTTTTTTTATGCTTTCGTATCAGTGGACCAATGCTTTCTATTGAAACGTTTTGTAAAGCCATTTTTCACTCTGATTTTTGCTCTTCTGCTTATGCTTTCTGCTTGCTTATACCTCTATTTTATTCTGTGCTAGAGGTATAAATTGGGGTCAGGGATCCCTTCAGGCACCATGCTATAGAAACAGATACTTAGGTTACACTCATGGAACCGCACACTTAAGTTGTCCTTCTATCATCTCTCTACTTTGCAGTAGACCTAGCAGTTGTTTAGTCCTTTAAATTAGCTTCAGCAGATGACTTTGGGTTTTTTTTGCTTGAGTGACCTTCTTTGCTGGCATAAAGCTTAGACCTGACTCCCTGAGGACTCGTATAAGCACCAGTATTGATGCAAAAGACAGGGAGGTGTGGGACAGCACTTACTCAGATAAGCTTAACCTGCAAGAAGATGCTCCTGTAAACAGTATCTGCTCAAAATAATCATAATTTGCTAGCAAAGAGGGAAGGACATACTAAACGAAGTGGCAGAGAAGGGAATAACACAATAATTGGGATGCTTGAATAAATAATGAACAACTTTCAGTTGTACGTGACAGATTTGTTGTCCCCTATTGATTTTTTTTCATGTCCTCTAATTCTGAACTCAGAGTTTTATAACTCTAATTAAAAAATCATTTAAAAAAATCAAAACCTCCTGCTTCTCTTCATCCCTCCCTTAGCCTGGAATAGTGTTATGTATGTGAAGTAAACTAGATGCAATGCATTTTAACCTCAAGTTTAATTTCGGAACTAGTTCAGTAAAATGTTTGTTATTGTTAGTAATAAGAGAAAACAGCACTACTGATAAAATAGTACTTAGTGTCTCTTGTGCTTGGAGTATGACAGTGTCAATACACAGTTCACAAAATGAAGGAAAAAACTCGGGTATTTATCCAAGACTGAGCCTCAAGGACATCTTCAAACTGATCATTGGTCTCCTTTTTAGTCCCTTTCAGACGCTCTGATTTCACTCCAGATGGTCTATCCTCGAAGAAATCTCTCAGCTGACCAGTGGAGAAACGCACAACTACTGAGCCTCATCAGTGCCCCCAGTACAATGCTTAATCCTGCACAGTCTGACACAGTACGGCCTTTTAATTTGCGTTCTATTTTAAGGTTAAGCAAGCTTTTCCGTAAGATAGGGTAGGGGTGTTTCATTCTCTATTTGATTACCTCTATGAGGCTTTTAATCAGAGAAGTAAATAGGCTGCTTGGGAGAGCTGAATACTTTAGTACAGGGGAAAAGTTTTCTTGTGTTAATTGAAGCTTCTCTTGGGTTAGCTCATGCCTTCATTTCCAGGTTTGAAAAGATGAAGGGAAGCAATGTTAACTTCTGCAGTGTAGAAGGAAGGAATCATGTGTATGGTCTTAGATGTTTGTGGGCCACAGACTGGAAATCAGAACTGATACTTCCTTTAAAATGCTTACTGTTTGCATTCGCTCCCTCCGTTGTGATACGAATCTTCCTAAAAAAACTCAGGGGTTAACAGCTGTCAGGTTGTGATTAGTGTATATCAAAAGCCTTTAGTTCTTTAATTTTCTTAAATACAATCTCTGTCAAATCTAAACATTTGTCAAATGTTTTTTCACTGTTTTGTTCAAGGTATTGGAGGGTGTAGAAGCTCATTTAATGTTCAAACCCTCCGTTTCTAGAGGGATGAAACAATGTCCTGTTAGTAATCAGCAGCAGTCTTCCATGACTCATCAGCGTTCAAGGCTTTATTTGTCCCTTTTTCTAAAAAGTACTTCTTATGAAATGTATTGTCTTTTATAGTTTGCTACAGATTACTGTTTTTTTCAACAGATGCCATGTGAATACCTCTCTCTGGATGCAATGGAAAAATGGATCATTTGTGAGTAAAATATTCTGAAACAGCTCGTGCTTTTATTAAAAAAACAAACTAGTTAACATTTAAAAGACTACTTGCTTTTCTGCACTGTACAAAAGCTGTTGTATTCAGATTTTAGATGCTAGAGAACTTGGTTAAATCTCATTTGTATGTATCATACTTTTAGATGCAGCGAAGTTAGAATTCGGCATGTGCTGGAATGGAGTTTGTCACCATTTTATTCCAGACTTGGACTAAAAGTGGGAGATTTAGTAACTCTGATGAAAACAACTGAGTAGTATCAGGACTAAATACTTCAGCTTACAAAAATATTATGAAAATACCTTCTCTAGAACAGTGGGGTATTTTTTTGTATATGAAACTGTTCTTCATTAAACAGTTTATCAATGAACTATTTGAACTAATTTAAGAGAAAATGCATAATAATCCCACTATTTTCTTACTGTCTTTGTGCATCTGCTTGGTGACATACATCAATGTGGACTTTTGAAGTTGGGTTTATTTTGTGCCATGGAATCCTCAATAGTGATGCTACGGCTTTGAACCTTTGGAAGCTTGCACTTCAAAGCAGCTCTTGTTTGGCTCTGTTTCGGGATGAAGTATTCCATATTCACAAAGCTGCAGAAGACTTGTTTGTAAACATACGAGGGTAAGTTTTGGTTCTCTTTTTTCTCCTTTCAGAACCTCTGTTAAAAATGTTGAATTTCTTGAAGGGCTGTTTTGAAAATGTTACTACTTCATATAAATTCTACTCAGGGATAGTCAGTGCGCAAACATTTTTGCTTAGTATCTTGACTGTTTCTTTAGTGTATAACTTCCAGGAGCTTGATTTCATAACCATCGTGCCTTTTTTTATCTCAGTTCTGAAAAAGTCTGGTGAATCAGTCTTTCAAATGGCAAAAGTTAAAATTAATGATCTCGCCCACAAATCTTAATCTAGGGAAGAGAAATGATGTCATGAATGCAGAGTTTGCTTGAAAAGTTGCATCTGTCTACCACTGTTTCTGCAATATATTGTGTGAAAACTCAGACAGAAACAAAGTTGAGACCTCTACCAGCGAACACCAGAGCACTTCAGTAGCGAGTATTTTCGGTTTGGGTAGCCAGTTTTAGTATTTAGCTCTGATCAGGGGAATAAGTCTTGCGTGAGCTTTTGGCTGTCTCCTGCTTGCTGTGGCAAGTCCTGCTCAGCTCTTGCTAAACTCTCCTACTGGTACTTCTTACCATATTGGATTGTTTTTTGCTTGCAGGTACAACAAGCGTATTAATGACATCAGAGAGTGCAAAGAAGCTGCTGTTTCACACGCGTAAGTGTCTTGCAAAGTTTTGCTGGCAGATTTTAGTGTTGGTTTTCGTAACAAAGTTATAAAGACTGTATAAACAGCATTTGTTGAATCCTGAATTAGTTGTGCATTTTCAAATGAGATCATATAGTGATTGTTCTTTTAAATCTGGATGTGCTTAATGCCGTTATCAATTTAACTTCCCAGATCTTAGATTATTTTTCAAATCTTCCAGATGGAAGCATTTAGTTTACTCTCCAGTTTCTTTTTGTCTAATTACTTAATGTGAATGTTTTAGTGGAGTCAAATGCAAATCACAGAACAGGGGCAGAGAACTTGGGTTTTAAACTTAACCGTATTTCAGGAATACGCAGCATCGGTGATGGGGATGCCAGTTGTAATTGAACCACATTCTTCAAGATACTGAAGTTGGTATGACATCAGCTGCCTCTGCTTGGACTTAAGTGTTTGGAAAAATCAAATGTTCTGTGGTTAGCACAGTGGATGATGTTTCGGTTTGTTCTTTTGATGCAGTGGCTCAATGCATAGAGAGAGGCGCAAGTTTTTACGTTCTGCACTCAAAGAACTGGCTACTGTCCTGTCTGATCAGCCAGGCCTGTTGGGTCCCAAGGTAATTACTTTTCTTACATTTTGCATTTATGCAATCTTACTTTTTGTTTCTCAGTTGTAATGTGCCATTTAGTTTGTTTAGGGGGGAAAAACCCTACACTTTACTTTGAGATAAAACCTACTTAAGTTTTAAAATTCTTTGGTTTAAGACAATAGTTGCCTCTTTGAGTGCACAAGATGTCCAGCTGTTGTATATGTTTATAAGCTTGTGAACAACTTTTTCTTTTTCAGGCACTTTTTGTATTTATGGCGTTATCCTTTGCTCGTGATGAAATTATTTGGCTTCTTCGTCATGCGGATAATATGCCAAAGAAGAGCGCAGATGACTTCATAGATAAGTATGTTAACAATTTTTAGTGTGATACCTTCAGTGTTTATGAGAATTTCACAGATGAAATGCATTGGAAGGCAAGGGAATCTTGGGAAAGGATGGCTACATGAAAGATTTGGGACTGTTCAGAAAATCTTTACCTGGGAATCCCAGAAACTGAAACATACCAGTGAAAGTTTGTTTTCTATAGAAAATGAACTTCTAAAAAAAAATAAATTTATAAAATTTCTAGGTATTTTTTCCTTTGAGAAAGCAAAACAAAAAAAGCTTTATTGTCTCTTCAGTGTTACTGGTTTGCATTGAACAAATCAGTGGGGGTGAGGAAACTGTCGAAGAGCTTGATTTGTTGATCTATAGAATGTCTCCTGTATTATAGCAACACTGTCTTTTAAATCAGCTAAGATTTGTTTATATAACACAGCGTTAGTGTCAACATAAACAGAAGTTAAAAATGAGAAATGGGTTTAAGAGCTTTATGAATATGGATAGGCAGAAGGGTGCTAGTTGTCTTTGAGATGTTCTCAAGTTTATTAAACGCAAGATTGAGCTGAAAGTCTGTATTGACTGCAGGAGTTTAAATAAGAAGTGACAATCACAAGCTGGAGTACAGCTGGAGTAGGAAAAGCTGGGGTTTTCTTCACTGGACTAGGTGCTAGGCATGTGGAGGTCCCACTCCCTCTCTGAAACAACCTGAGCAAGTATTTAACTGTCCTTACGGTTTTAAAAAACAAACCAAAACCATCCCGACAGAAAAGCAGTTATTACAATTATATTTTTCAGATTTAACCACTTTTTGAGAATTTTTTTCTTCAAATTGAGCATTGTAGAAGGGCTTCTTCAAAAAATAAGTGGCTGGTTATACAAACCCTTGAGGACTGCCGTGAGGGCATCCTGCTAATTTATCTCCTGCTCAGTGGATTTTACCTTGCAGAGGAAATTACGTGTGTAAACTCATTTTACAATGTGAACAAATATTTTCATACAAAAACTACCTGTTAATAATACTTTTAAAAGGAAGGTATCAGAAGAAGTCCCCTTGAGACGCATTGGTAGAAATTGTTTTTACTATTTTTGGATGCTTTCTTATTTATAAGTTTTTCCTTGTCCTCTTGCCTAGACACATAGCAGAGCTAATATTCTACATGGAGGAGCTCAGAGCACACGTGCGAAAATATGGACCGGTGATGCAGAGATATTATGTACAGTATCTCTCCGGCTTTGATGCAGTGGTCTTAAATGAGCTTGTTCAGGTATGGCAAGACTGTGGTTTTGAGTTCTCAAATGCAAACTTTAAAAAGGCCTTTTTGTCTAAAATGTCTTATGAAATGCATCCTGTTTTGAGGATTTTGATGAACATTACAGAATAAGGCAAATTAACTTAACTTGCTGTTTAACTCTGGGATTTAGAGTTGTACTTTTGGTTGTTATATGCATACTTAAGTGTTATTAAGCGATGTTCTGTTTGGAGACAGTAAAACGAGTACTGCCACTGAAGGGGTGTTACAGAAACCTTTTTCTTTTTTAGCCTGAGAAAGAGATGATAGGCTTCCTGAACTGCTTTGGTTTTATTCCCTAGTGACCACTAGATGGAGCCCAAATTTTGTGCCTAGGTCAGCTCCTCAAGCTTGGCAAGTCTGTACTGAAGGCTTTTTTGTCATGTTCAAAAAAATTAATTTCACACTTCAAGCATTACATCAATTACCAGAAGGTGGAACTTACATACTCTACTGTTTGTTTAAATGAACTATTTAAACAGTTTAAATACCTCTTTGTATCACTGGTTAAATTATTAAATGTAACTGAGTCCTTGGGTTTACTTTCAATACCAGAGTACCTGTATTTAGGGCTTTTTGCTTATAACTCTATGTACTTACATTTTAACAGATTTTTTTTTTTTTGGTGACAGAATTAAATATTTTTTGCCATTTGTCATCGATTCCTGGGAAATTATTTCCTAGATGACTTCTGAATGCTGTACAAGTGGCACAAACATTCTGTGTTTAGATAGGATAATCCTTAGGATCAAACTGAAATGAGGACAAAATAAGTTGACCTGAATTTTAATTAATTCATAGCAAATATCAAGCACAAGACTAGACAAATGATTGAGCGAGAATTTGGATTTTTTGAGCCTTTAGGTTAAAATGTCAGTCATAGGTGGAAATACGAGAAACTTCTGTGTTGTATTATTTAATAGAAATATGATCTTATCAGTTGCTGAAACTGTTTTTTCGTGAACTGTTGCGTTTTGTAAAATTCGAAAACTCCATAGCCCATCGTCCAGGTGGTATCAATCGTTGAAGTCAACATTAGTAAAAAAACTACTGAGAGAGGGTTTTGTGGGCTGCAAAGCGATGCTGATGTGGGCTCCATTATATCCTGTCATGGTCAGCTTTTCCATGCAGATAGATCAGATGCCTGTAGAGGTCAGAAAAATGTTTGATGTCTGTTGTATAACAGAGAAATACTTGGTGTCCATTTTGTAAATGACTACAGCCTGAAAATGCATGGGCACGTTTGCTGACAGATTTTTCCGTATTGAGCAGATGTTGGTTTGGAAGCAAGCTTTTCTAGGTATCTGTCACCAACCAATGAACTAAAAAGTGAAAGCTGTTAAATAGCACTATTTGAAATTTTCCATCGATTAAGTTACCTTTTGTAAATTTTTGTACCTTTCAGAGTATAGCTGATAATTGGGCTTGGGTATTGACATTGGTTTATAAATCAAATTTGAAATAATAATAGCAACAACATTTATTTTAGAATCTTTCAGTGTGCCCAGAGGATGAATCAATCATCATGTCATCTTTTGTAAACACAATGACTTCACTAAGTGTGAAACAAGGTAAGTTTAAATGAACTTGGGAAAATGGTTACAGAATGACAGATTCCTCTAGAAAGCTTCATTGCTTTTTGTTTCATGCAATCAGTAGAAGCAGATAACTTGCATAATCTGAATTTGTTCCCTTGCTTTTCTTTTGTTACGGTATCTGCGTCTTCTTGTGTCCTTTTTCCAGGGCGGCTCTATACAGGTAGAGCTTTTGAAGAATGCTATTGGGAAGTAATTCTACCTTTTAATTTAGAAAGCATATTATCCATATTTTCATCTAGATATTTTAATTCCTGTTGGCAAGGCTGTGCTGGATTGAAATTGTTAGGTAAAAGCATGAGGTTCAGTACCCAAGTAATTCTTGATTACTTTGGGATTTTTTAGAAGGTGTGATATAGTATATCTGAACATGTAGTTGTTTAACTAAAGGGTTTATGTTCTGTATTTTTCCCTGATGCAGTTGAAGATGGAGAGGTGTTTGACTTCAGAGGAATGAGATTAGATTGGTTTAGATTGCAGGTAAGACTTTGTAAATATGTGTGATGCTAACTTAAAACCAAAATACTTAGTAAATTACTTCTGGATTACTCTCACACTGTAAATGGATGACAGGCTATCTAAGGATAACCTACTCTCTTAGAATCAGGCAAATACTTAAGCAGATAATTTGCCATGTTTTGATGTAACTTTGTCTGCATTGCATGCTTTCTGCAAATCATTCTTTGGGGTGTTGGTAACAGTTGGGAAGTAGAGTATGTTGAGGATGAGCAGTTTGTTGGCGGCTGTGAACTGTCCGGAGTGTGATTCAGCCTGCCCAGCCAGGGAAGGTAGGAACTGTTCAGTGGGAAAATAATGCTCAGTGAGGTCACTTCTGTGCGTTGCAATATTAGTATCCTTAATAATTGACTTAATAAAGGCGAGAGTACTGGTTAGACAGTAAATCAATTGTCTCAAGATTAGACAGACATCTTATTTTTATATTTTCAAAATCCACATTCTTTTTCTTGCTTTCCAAAACTTGATTATCAAAGGGGAGGCTCACAAGTGCGTGTTTGTGTTTTGTCAGTGCATTTGTTCTACGGTTTATCTGTGAATTGGTGTCGTATTCAAATGACATTTAGAGACTTCACTGAAAGGCAGTTTGCTTTTCTTAAGCTACAGTGGAAAGATAAAATCGTCTATCCACAGTCTTTAAGCCCCACAGGTGTCCTCCACGTAGCATAATCAGTATTGAACCTTTATACTGGGCAATAGCAATGGAATTCACAAAAAAGCAGCCGTAGATACAAAATAATTTCTTTCCTGTGTCTTTCCAGGCTTACACCAGTGTTTCTAAAGCTTCACTTAGTCTTGCAGACCATAGAGAACTAGGAAAAATGATGAACACAATCATTTTCCACACAAAAATGGTAGATTCTTTGGTGGAGATGTTGGTTGAAACCTCAGATCTTTCTATATTTTGGTAAGTTACTAACCTGACTGTAGAAGCTTTTTATTATTTGTTTGATTTGTCCTTGCAAGTGTAATTTTTAAATGGCAAACTTTGTAGGAAGAATCCTTTGTAGGATTCTCCAGTGGGAGAATCAATGAGAATTTCAGGTTTATATCTGAATTAGTTTGATAAAAGTATTTCTGAAGATCTGTCAGAGGGATTCTTCAAGCAGTCACACAATTGATCTTCCTCAATGCATTTTTTGCAAAAGGTGCAAGTTTTTGCAGTGCCTAGGTGGCAAACATCAGAGTTAAAATACAGTAATAATAATAATAGATGCAAATAAAATGCATAAGAAGTGAATGCAGAAAACAAACTTCTTTTGAAAGCATGATGCAATTTTTGGTATAAGTTACACCTACTGACACTAACAGCGTATTTGATTTGTGTGAAGTAGACTTTATTTGCAGTGAAATTATGTATGTATTCTATTTAAATGTCTATTTCTAATCAGTTTTTATAGTCGTGCTTTTGAGAAGATGTTTCAGCAGTGTTTGGAGCTTCCCTCTCAGTCAAGATACTCAATTGCATTCCCACTGCTTTGTACTCATTTTATGAGCTGCACCCATGAACTATGCCCAGAAGAGGTAATTTTTAAATACATTGTCTTAATTATTTTTGTCTCTCATTTAAAGTAAAGAAGACTAGAGCTGAACGCTGCAAGGTGTTTATTATAGCACGTAGGATTCGAGGGAGGAGAGTGGTAAAAAGGGAAGTAAAACAAATAGATACCTTCTTAGGGGATTCTTCACCCATAGATCTCAAAATCCTTTTCTGAAGTAAATATTATCTTTGTTTTAAAGAGGGATTAAACTAAGGTACAAAGATTAGATGACTTTTCCAGGGTCATTCAGGCTTAGATGCTAATAAGGCCTGTATGCCTATTAAAATTTACAAGCAGCAGTGTTTCTTTCAAATGGATTATGAACTCATAGTCTTAAAAAAAAAAAAAAACAAAAAAAAAGAAAGTAGGAAGTTGGGAGTTCTGTGTGGCTTGTTAGAAATAGTGCTGCTTCAGTAAGATTAAAAAAAAAAATCCAAAGTGATACACAGTATAATGCAGGCATTTGTTTTGGTCAGAACTGGGTAATGCAAGCCCTCTTTGGTTAGAATTAGAAATGAAAAAAATGCAGAATGTTGCTTAAAGAAATGGACCCTTTGTTAAAGGGAGTAGTTTGATTCTGAGCGAATTCTTTCTATTTTTGTTGTAATGAAATAGATCCTTCAGTACATTTCCTGTGCATCCATTGACTTCGGAATTACTCCGGGGGTTAACTTGGTCAACTTTGTGTAGTGCTCATGAAAGTGTATTTTCATTCTTAACAGTGCTCATCTGAAACAATTAGATGAATAAGACCTATTGTAATATGTACAATGCGGGTTTTTCTTACTTAAACATTAAATCCTCTTCTGCTGAACTTCATCTCAGTATATCTATATCATTATTTTCCCTGTATATACTTTACTTTAAACAGCTGCAAACTCTATTTATACTAGACAAACACCAAAAAGCTTCCAGGAAAGCTTCCCTTCAGGACAAGAGATGTCTTTCAGAACAATTATAGTAACAGTAAGGAATCAGTAGCCAAAGTCCGCTGTACAGTAGTTACTGTGAATTCAGCTGCAGCGAGCACATTTTGCCACAGCCAGCAGAACTTTGGATTCAACATCTGAACTGGATGACTCGTTAACTGTTATCATTTTGGAAAAATAATCTTTGCTGTACTGTGTACAATGTGTGGTAGTGTGTCTGTTAGAAAGTAAACGTTAGTGGTGAAAGAAGGATTTCATTGAGACGGAAGGCTGTGCTTGTGCAGATCCAGTGACAAAGGGACTGAATCCAGAAATTAATGCAGCAGAGCTTCATTATTGGCTTTGGCAGTGGTATGAATGACACCGTGCTTTCTCTATAGCTCGAGTTGCATGCTCTTTTTTTCTTAGATTTAGTAGTGGTACAAAGGAAGGAAGAGGAGATTCACAGAAACCTAGGGAATTGGGCACTTTAAAGTAGATTTATTCCAGAATTAAACATGAAAACCTACTTTTTAAAATTTTTGCCTCCTTTTACAGAAGATGTTTTACAAAATATTTTTAATTATAATATGCCATTTTGACTTTGAACATTTCATGGTTCAAGTTGCTTCCGGAAAAAAAAAAAAAAAAGAAAATACAACCCTGGAGCTGAGACTATTAAAGACCAATGAATTTATTATTTCTCATACCCCAGTTCTATGATTTAGTGAACTGTTAACTGCAGTACAGTGTGTGTGTTGTCTGAATATTGTAAGACTAACAGGAAATTGAAAGTAAGACTTGGGGTTTTTTTGCTCTTTAACAGCGACATCATATTGGAGATCGTAGTCTTTCATTGTGTAACATGTTCTTGGATGAAATGGCTAAGCAAGCTCGAAATCTTATCACAGACATTTGCACAGAACAATGTACGCTGAGCGATCAGGTGAGTGTGGTTGTGTCTGTTGTAATTCTCCTTTGAGATTTTTATCTGTTCAGCTTTCTGAATTTTTACGGTTCTAATCCTGTTCACCTTCCCCACCCCGCTTCCCCTGTTTTGGAGAACTTTTCTGTTTATTAAATGGAAGGTGATTTGAAGAAGACTTGTTAATACTGACTTAGCAGTCAAAGGAAGAATGTGTTACTTGCGTGATGAAGTCTCCACCTGGACCATAAGCTTCTTTTGTATCTCATGGATGCTAAAAAGTTGGATTTTAATTTGGAGGGGCTATTTCTTTTCGTTTACTAGTTGCTGCCAAAGCATTGTGCCAAAACCATCAGTCAAGCAGTGAACAAAAAGTCAAAAAAACAGACTGGAAAGAAAGGAGAACCTGAAAGGGAGAAACCAGGAGTAGAAAGCATGAGGAAAAACAGATTGGTTGTGACAAAGTAAGCTGCCTTTTCTGTTCCTTTCACCTTGAATCCCGAGTCAAAACGTGCATTTTACATATTGAATGCAAATAAAAATCAAACCTAAAAACCCCCTTGAAAGAGATATGAGGAAAGATGAATAAATACGCTTTGGGGTATAAGAGGTGATAGAGGAGGAAAACAGATAATTGTTAGGAAAGATCACAGGACAAAAGAGGGTAGTGATAAAAGGAGGAGGAGGAAGGAAGCTAAGCGAAGGAAACAATAAATGCGTTGTGGCTTGAGTGGCTAAACACACACACTGCTGAAAGGGAAGTGGGTTTGCTACAATTGCAACAACCGAACATCACAGAATGTGGTAAAGATTAGAGAAGTTGAGGCCAAAGAACATACTCGTAGCTTAAGATTCCTTCCCCCAATATTTTTTCTTTTTTAATACTGACTAGTAACAAACATTACTTGTGTTGCTTAGTTCAGCTAGGAAAGAACTTCCTTAAGACTGTCCAAGGGGAAAAAAGAAAGTATATGTATATATAAAAATAGATCTATCTGTCACATCACTGTGTGTGATGCAGATCAGTATGCAGTTGTAGGATGTGTTCCTACCGAAAATACTGTTTTTTTTAAATAAGCTAGAAAAGTGTCTCAAAGCAGAAAAAGATAATGAAAGGAAGAGTTAGAGCTGTACCTGCTCCTGAGGCGTCTTCCATCCAGTGTATGCTTTCCATGATAATATGTATTTATATTACATTAAATGTTTTTCTTAATTTCTTGTTGACTGTTCTTAAAATTTCTTGTTGACTGTTCTTAAAGCCTGGACAAACTGCACACTGCACTTTCTGAGCTCTGCTTCTCAATCAATTACGTACCAAACATGGTGGTTTGGGAACATACGTTTACCCCAAGAGAATATTTAACGTCTCACCTGGAAATCCGCTTTACCAAGTAAGAAATATTGTAAAGATAGATGTATTCATATACAAGATAAGCCTTTATTGATTTGACACTGGAAGTATTGTGTACTTACTACGGAAAACTAGTTTTTAAAAGGATGGATTGCGAAACTCGTAAGTCAAATTCTGACTGAAATGACAAGTTATATATGCAGACATACACAATTGTTCATTCCTACTTTAAAAGAAAATCTATTAGAAATGAATATCACCTATATAATAGCCTAATCGTGCATTCCTAGTCCTGTGTATTTTGTAGGAGTTGGTGATGCCTATTTTTAGGCATGTATAAAGACTGTCTTCCCACTGTTCTTTTGCACAGAGCTGGATTGTTTCAAGTGTTGGAGTTTGCTGGCTTGCTGAAAGGGAAATCTAAAAATCAGAACTCAAGACCTGACAAAGCCAACTGAAAAGATATTTTAATTATCTTTTTTCTTAAAATAAAAAGTATTGCCACTTGATATTCATGTGTGTCCCTGCCTTGATCTTCCCGTCATTGTTTACAGAAACAGGCAGATGGCAACTTTGGGAGAGGACTTCATATTAAAACAGCCAGGTATCCTGGTTGTGTTTTGTGCCAAGGATTGCTAATTATATATTCCATACAAGGTCTAAAGACTTAATAAAACTTTTACTCATCAAGACATAATATTAGGTCTCTGGAGCCCTCCATCTTTAAAGTAAGACAAGGTGGTATAAAAGTAAAGATAACTTCATGACTTTATAGGGAATCAGCTGTAATCTTCGGGTTTATGAACCTAGACCAATGCAGGTCATAGTTGTCTTTTTTTTTTTTTTTAATTTTATTTTATTTGGGGGAGGTTTGGCTTCTGTATTGGAGCTGAAGCCACAGGCAGATGACTTTCAGTGTCTGCTTTCCTTTTCCTTGCCTCACGAAAGAAATGAGACTTGTTAGCCAAATGGAATAAATATTCAATTTAGAATTATTTTTTCAGATATTTAAGTGGTATTTCTTCCAGAGGTTTGCAGTTTAACTTTATTTAAAGTGTTAGTGTTTCGGTGATAGGAGGTTTTTTGTTTACTGTTTTAACCTGCCCTGTTTCGTGTATGATTAGACTGGAGCTTATTATTGTCACTTGTAGTAATACCAAATTTGAATTGGTTTTAAAACAAAAAAGAGACTGCCTCAGAAGTAAAGTTGTGAAAATGGGCTTATTTACACATTTCCAAGCAACAACAACAAAGTTACTTAAGCTGATGTTCTTCTCCAGAATAACTCATTCCATTCACCTCTGATGAAGGTAGTAATCTACCAATTTCTTTCTTTGGGGTTTTTTTTTGTTGCTGTTCTGCCTTTGAAAAGTACATACCACTCAAAAGCTTAGCTCTGAAAGTCTGAGACCGTTAGAGCCTAAAATGAATACTACACCAAGTACTTGTTCACTAAGAATACTTTGCTTTAAGGACCCCCTGATACAGTTTGCTTGAGGGCCTGGTGTCCGTGAGAATCCGAGTCAAGTCCACATCCATTTGTGTTAAAAGGGAATATACATTCCTTTGTGCGGTTCTCATCCCGCTTGAAAGCGAGCCTGATGTATAGGACATCTATTGTTAGAAGCCTGGTTTTATTTATAGCGAGAATTTGAACAAAGCAAAGTATGTCCTGCAATTTCTTGACTTTTTGATTAAAGATAGAAATCACTGTGACAGCTAAAGGGAGATTTGCTTTTCATTGGTAAGATTCGTATTTATTTATTTACTTAACATATACCCATTTTTTTAAATTTGTGTCTAGAAATGTAACTGAAGTTTACCTACTAAATGATATAAAAATATTTTCTTTTATCTACTTACACAATAGTTACTGAGAGGCATTACCTGTTGAAAGCAGAGCTTCTGATAACTTGCAAAGTTATTTAAAACAGTTAAAATGTAATTTTTAAAGTATGCTCTAGGAAAGCTATCTGTTTTGCAAGAGAGATGAGATCTTTCAAGATAACTTTGAGATTTTTTTAATACTGCGTGAGCTGAGGCAGAAGGAAGAGACACTAAATGGTATGGTCTGTGTCTTACAAAATTTATGCACTTGAGTACAGTAGGGATAGTTAATATCACAAGATAATCAGGTATGACTTTAGATTCTTAAGCAAAGCAACACAGAATAGAAGTTTTACTTTGAATATTTTCAATTCATACTTAATTATAGCTCTGTGATCTTTTTTACAGAGATTTCAAACTTAAACTATGACAGCACCTTTTGTTCAAAGAATTTTTGTCTTAGTTAATATGCTTTGAACACTTTTAATACATCATTGCTCTTGCATTCCCCAGAAGTTTTGCATTTTAAAAAGACTTTTATATTGCAACTATTTTGGTAAATAAATTAACGTTAGTCCTCCACATTGTGGATTGCCCTTATATATGAGGGGGAAAATGCTTTATTTTGAAAATGTTTGGTGAGTAATCTTACAGTCTCATGATATTTTTCCTGGAACCGTGAATACAGTTGTCTTTGGCATCTAGAACTATTTTTAAAAGTGCTGGTGTAGCATGTGCATTGATGAGAGTTTTATACTTGCGGATTGCAGAAGTATTCAGATAAAAGCTTTGAATATAAAATCATCTTTATAGCTGCATCTTTGTCTCTGTTTTTAATTTTACTAATAAATGCAATTTATTTGTTTTCAATTTTTTTTTCCCCTAAAAGGTCAATTGTTGGAATGACTATGTATAACCAAGCGACACAAGAGATTGCAAAGCCTTCAGAGCTGTTAACCAGTGTAAGAGCCTATATGACAGTCCTCCAGTCAATAGAAAATTATGTACAGATTGACATTACACGAGTATTTAACAATGTTCTGCTTCAGCAAACTCAGCATTTAGATAGTCATGGTGAGCCAACCATTACCAGTCTGTACACAAATTGGTAAGTAATTACATGAACGTTTGTGACAAGATTTTTATATTGTTTTTTATTTATTTAAAAATCTGAAACTGGAGAAGTGTAGTTGTTTGCAATTTTTTTAAGTTTCTGACTTCACTAGTTTACTTCTCCCAGTACCTGTTAAAAGCAATTTAAGGTTTGCCTATTGTGAAATTCTCTTTTTATAGGGAGGAGATGGAGCTGTAGAGTAAGACACAGATATCAGTTGAACTACGAAAGTAAAACTTTAGTCTATAGGCTTTGCTGTCCCTTGTCACACAAGTATACTTCATAGGTATAGAGTACCTACGAACACGTGTCTTTTCATCTAAACCTTTTTCTCTTTCTGATAAGGTATTTGGAAACTTTGCTACGGCAAGTCAGCAATGGTCACATAGCCTATTTTCCAGCCATGAAGGCATTTGTGAATTTGCCTACAGAAAATGAATTGACATTTAATGCTGAGGAATACTCTGACATATCAGGTAACCATTGATGTTTCTGCTGAGTGTTTGTGAGGGGTAGTTATTGTATGCTTGAGTAATTGGAATAACAGCAAGTCTTAGAGTGCTCTATTGTAGACAGCATTTGTTAACTTTCAGTAGTATTTTAAGTACAAGTTCTCATAGCTAAAATTCCATTTTGTGGTAAAATATTTTTGCAATTAAAACGCTATTGCTAGATACATGATGGGCATCAAATAACTGAAGAAGGAATGTTTGAAGTAGAACAACTTTTTTTTTTTCTTCTCAGAAATGAGAGCCCTTTCTGAACTTTTGGGACCATATGGCATGAAGTTCCTAAGTGAAAGTCTGATGTGGCACATTTCTTCACAGGTTGCTGAGCTTAAGGTAGCCTTGGGAAACACGTGGGTGGGAAGGCGGGTAGTTTTCTGTTGAAGCTTCCCTTAGGATATTTAATAACCACGCTTCTGTATGCCGTCTTTTTGAAATGACTGCATCGAACAAACTGATAAAGCTCAAATTTTACTCTTATTTTGTAGCACATTTGCACGCGTAGTACGTGTGTATCCCACATTCTTCGACAGCTGAACAGGCAGGACTTTATGCAGGCTCTGTTGATTGCTATGTTAGATACCCTAAGTAAGGAATCAAGTCTCTCTTTATCATCAATGGGAGAAGAAATGTTTTTCAAGGTCTCCGGATGCTTGCGAGGCGCTTACCCAAGTCTGTTGACTCTCAAAACTTAGCATGAAAATCTCAAATGTATCTTAGTCGTCTATAAGGACTTACTTTCTTTACCATGTGTGTTAGCGTCTATTGTTCAGTTTACATGGATGGAAGACCTCAGGTCTTTTTTCTTTGTTAGTTTTCCTCATTTTTAGGCATATCTTTTCCTCTAGCTGAACAGTATCCGTTTATTGTAAATGTCTGTATTCTGATGAATAAACCTGATAACTACAGCAGCACAAACAAACCATAAAGTTGATGTCATGAAAAAAAATTGGAAATGTGGGCATGTCAAGGAAAGAGTTGCATGTATATTCAAAACATCGAACAGTGACAAGGGAAGCACTTGGTGTGCCTGTGTAATTAACTCTTTCTGGAAAGAGGTTTTAATAAATTTAATAAGGTGTATTACTTTCCCAGGGTAGTCATACTATTAAAATGCCACTAATTGGCATATATTTGCTTTTCATATGCTTTTACTCTTTTAGTGTCATTTCCAAATTTAATTCCAAGTTGTTAATACATCTCATCATCTTCAATTTATTTAATCTCTAATTACAATAAGGAGGGGTTTGTAACTATTCATGTATGCTGTGTTTTTAAAAATGCACATGAATACTTAAGAGATCTAAGGAACTTTAATTTTTTTTTCCTGAAACAACAAATTTTTACTATTATTAGCATACTAGGCCTTTAAAAGTGTGTGTTTTTAATATATTCCATGGTACAATTTCAAAGATCTTGTTCTCTCTGTAAACATTGTGAATTCTGGTGCTGCTGAGTTGCGAGGCTGTACGATGCCCTAAAAGATATGAAGCCTTTACTCAGTGTGGCAGCTCAAGGAGAGGGGCTGCTCCTGCTTTCCAAGCTGCCGCAGGAAAACCTGAGTGAGCAGCTGGGCAGGGTAATTGATTCCTTATGCCCGTGCCAGTTTTTGAGTTTTAGGACGAGCCTTTCCAGGTGAGAACGCTACGATTTTAAGGTTAAATTCTGCAACTGCTGGCTATGCACAAAGTGACATCTGTCACATTTCAAGTAAAACATAAAGCCATTGGGCAGATGTTTATTGGTCGCGGCTGTCTTTGTCCGCTGACTGTGGAGTTGCCATACTTCCTCAAAATCAGCACCGTTGCTATTGTAGCTCTGTGTATTTTTTTACAAAGCAACTTCAAATTGTCTCTGAGATTTGTTGTTTGCTGATACTGCTAAGGATGAGCAGAACATAACGTAGATCCACATGCACATGACCGCATATTTGGAGGAAAGAAAGTAATAAAATGTTCATCTCTTTGGCTGAGATGCAGTTGGCTTAGCGAGAGAGCACTAAGAAACATCTGTGTTTGGGGGAAGGAAGCAACAAGAGGGATAGAATGGGGAATTTATTAAGAGTAGGGTTCAACACACTTGCTCTGCTTCCCGCAGTGGGACCAGGTGGTGGTTTTATATCTGAAGTTTAAGGTTGGGGCGAGGAGGGGAAGTTGGCCTCATCTAAGCAACTATTTGAACTGTATTCCAGCCTGTTCCTTTTAAATCTTAAACTAATATGCTGGTTATTTTTTGTAAAGCTGAAAGTTTGACTCAATAACAATGTGCGTGGGCTATTGCCTTCAGTCTTGCATTCTGGAGAGCTTTGAGGGATTTAAATGAAAATGTCACACATCTGCCAAGTTCTGATACATCAGTCGGTTTAAAATCGCCCATCTCTATTTCAGTGCAAACCAATCTTGCGTTGGCTTTCAGCATGCAAGTACATCTTGTGTGCCTATGTGTGAGCACGCGTTCTTGGAGGTGGTTAGTTGGCTACATCTTGGACAGCTTATTTCTTTCTTGCTTCTCACTGAAGATGAGAAGAAAGAAAGTGGGAAGACGGGGTGGATTATGGATAGACTTGAGGCTATGGAAATAGCACGACCATGACACAATGTAATTGAATCTGAGAGGTCTAAGCTGTTGGGCAGATCCGCTTTGCGCAGGATATTTGACTAGGAGGTGGGAGTAAATGCAGACCACCGCTTATTTCATAGCAGCATTGTAGTTTAAGTTGTGTTGGGTTTTTTCTCCTCCTGTGGTCACAGGAATACTTACTCTGAAATTTAAATTCCCTGCTTGCCAGTTGCTATGTTTTGCCCTGTTTTCAGTGTGAGCTGAAGCAAAATAAAGTAAAACTACTAAAGCGGTTAGCAAAACTGTCAAAGGTCAAATGTTCTCAGATCCTTAGCAGTAGATTCCTGAAGGTATGTCTCTTAGATTTTTTTTTTTATATGTTATATCTTAAATTATGTTCCAGGCTTATAATGGCCTCTGCATCTGATGAATAGTAGTTCTTCCTGCTCCCTCCTCATTGCTCCTTTTGTTTGTGCTGCCTAGTAGTTAAGGTGGATTGGAATGCATCCACTTGAAAAATAGAGCAATTAATAATCACTTTGGAAGACCACCCCCTATCCAGAATATCTTGTTTTCTTCCTCCATCTTTCATCTTTTCTACCTTGATATTGTTTAGTATACGAAGCACTAAAGTCTTCTTTAAAAGAAGGGAAACTCTCCTTCATTTAATGTTCAGAAGCACACAAGATAATCTAAATTTTCTTAACTACTGGGTGTCGTCTACCTGAAGAGAGATAATAATCATATTTTCCATTTCTGAAATAGGGTACTTTGCACTCAGACTGCAAAAAAATTTTTTTTTTTGTAAGAGTAAAGTACCTATTTCTTGCTGGAAGAGAGTTTAAAAATACTACTTGGCACAACCTAAGTTCCTCAGCTAGCAAGAAACACTTTTAGAATTTGACATTTCATAGAGATGATTATGCAATCTCTGTAATTTAAATCTGATACATACTTGGAGAATGATTGCAGGAAAGTTATTACATTTACCCTAATGCTGCAAGTTGCATGTATGAGAGCTGTTACGAATTAGAAACACAGAAACAGACACACATTTTCTTTTTTTTTTTTTTTCAAACTGACATGAAAAATACTGAACTTGAGTTCAACTATTTCAGGCTAAGGTGTTGGGACTTGAATGAATGTCTTTGGTTTTATTTTATATTGTAATGGAAGAAAATTTCAAGTAAACTGCACCGAGGTTTCACAGTCTCTTACACTCTTTGTTCCATTTTTCAATTTTACCAACGTTAAATTTCTAATCCTTACAGCATAACTAGTGAAAGGAACAACCCAAAAGAATGGATTACTTTGTGAATCTCCATTTTTATTTATATATGTATACTTTTCTGAAAAAAAAGCTAAATACCATGAAGAGCTATTGTTTGGTTTTGCTGAGTTTCATTCCCTTGTTTTAAGAAGTTGTACACATTGCCAAATATAAAAATCATGTTCCATATAAAAATCATTTTCCAAGTGGTATCTAACCCTCTGCTTTTTGACTCAGAGCTCGCTTCTGGGTAGAGTAGGCCCAATGATAATACTGATACTGTAGTCCCATGAAGAACACAGTGTGTACATCTGTATTCCATGAGTTTAATTGCCTCTCTGCGGGACTGAAATATCCTAAGCCGTGCGTTTATCCTGTTAACATACTGAAATCAATAGCTGACCTGACTCCTTGCTTCTTTTTAGAAACTTGTGGTGGAGAACGTTGAAGTTCTAACGCAAATGAGGACCAGCTTTGACAAGCCAGACCAGATGGCAGCACTCTTTAAAAGATTATCATGTGAGTAACTAGCAAGGTCCTACTAAATATATAGAATTGTTTTTTAACTTCATTATTGTAAAGAAAATGGGGAAAAAATAATTTCTTTATGTTAAGTATACAGAAGCAGGAAAATATATGTGAGCTCGTATAAACTGATGCATCTTTTCAAAAGTTTACAGTCTTCTCATGTACAGGCAGAATGAGATTTCAGTGTTTCAGGGCACTATAGTGGTGATGAGTTTTGTGCATCTTTTCAGGGATGATAACACACAGCTATAGCAACAGTAATCTGCAAACTGGGTGCGTAGCTGTAGAATAGAAAATACAGGCTCTTTTGATGCACATTTCTGATTTGATTCCATCATAGTGTAAATTACTGCATTCTTCAAAAGGATTTTTACGTGTAACTAGCATAAGAATTTGTTTTTAACAAAAATAATTATTATAGAGACACACTTGTGGCCTTAAGAAAACACAGTACTAGTATTACACACAACTGACAATACTGGATGCTAACAGGGTTCATTCCACTAAGTGGTTAACAGGATACTACTTCTACTGGAAATCCTGTTGTCAGCTTAGATATAAAAACCTGCTTCAGCGCTGTTTATTTTGGCTCTTTTAAGGAATGCCATTGGTTCAGTACCTTGTTTTTGCAGTATTTTGTTGATTGTTTTCTTTCTCTTTTTTGAAGAATTGAGCTTGTAAACAGGTTCTTGTTCATTATTGCTCTTCTCCTTTCTCTTCAGCCGTTGACAGTGTTTTGAAGAGAATGACGATTATTGGTGTTATCTTGTCTTTTCGGTCATTGGCACAGGAAGCGCTTAGAGATGTAAGAAATAACTGAATATCTTCTAAATAATTTTCTTTGTATTTAGTTTAATGGAACTATAAGGTATTTGAAGCTTCACTGTTTAGAAACGCTACCTCTTGAAAGGTTGGCATATGGATGAAATGGCAATACTCAGTCATAACTGAAGTTTGAATTGCAAGTTGGGGGGGGGGATCTACTTCTCTTGAGTACTGTTCAGAGAAATGTTAGAATAAAACATACAGGTTTTAATTTGAGCATGCCTCTCAATGTTTTCTGTGTTTAGTACATTTTAAAAGCTTACATTTCACTTGGTAAACAGCTTGATTTTGAGTATATTAGGCTCTAATGTCTTAAATCTGCAAAAAAAATCATATGCATAAAATAAAAACTCTGTAAGTCCAGTAAAATAATGGGAAGTATTTTTTCTCATTTTGTATGTGTTTGTGTCTCTTAGGTCTTATCCTACCACATTCCTTTCCTTGTAAGTTCCATCGAGGACTTTAAAGATCACATTCCGCGAGAGACTGACATGAAGGTAATGTTTGGCCCAAAAGGTGATGGAGTAATTTTTGGAGTTTGCTGAAAATATGTAAGGGCAAGACTTTCATAGTGTGAAAAATCCAGAAACAACACCCTTTTTTGCAGGGTTGTTTTTTTTTCGAAGAGCTAAGTAGGTGTACATCTGCAGCCTTCTGATGTTTTATCAAGTGTTAAGAATAAGTGATGAAGGGAAGAATACTGAGCTGCTTCATTGTGTGAGCAGCATAACTGGTAGAACTAAATGTTTCAACCACTCTGTGTACGTGGTTGGAACTCTATGTATGTAATAGCTACGAGGTTGATTTTTACCTTAAATTGAGAATTCTCGTGAACCCACCATCTGAAATGCTTGGAAAAAAGTTAGCAGCTTAAGTAAGGTGTCTTGCTTCTCAATGGCAGTATGGTTCCACCCAAAACCCCTTGTCGGTACATCATGTGGCTTCTGGGCACATAGGCGCAGTAGCTGCAGCATAGCTGTTTTTTTAATCTCTTGTTGCAGCTTGGAGCCCATAAAGATTTGCAAGCTTCTTAATAATGTTGTGGCAATTTGATTTGCACAAAATGTGTAGGGGGATATACACTGCACAACTCTGAATTCACTTTTACAGAAACAATTTTTTAGAAATCTGCTCTTGAGCAAAGTATGGTTTTTGAGGGCTGGAATACATTGTTTCTGAATTTGAAGTTTACATTTTGCTGTTTACTCTTGAGGAAAAAGAAACTTAAGTTCTGTTGTGTATAAAGATTCACTATATAAATAAAATTATCCTTCCTCTTTTTAAAAGTACGTTGCAAGAACAGTTCAGAGTCCGTTATGGTGGGCTTCATGATTTCAGAAGACGTGGTTTAGCAGTGTCTAACAATGCGTCAGAGGTTGCATGAAGAATATAAATTACTGAAATTTCATATGTATGCTATTTCATTCCAAAATATAATCACATGCTCTCTGAAACTTGCAATGCTGAGAAGCCAGCCATGAATGTTTGATGTCCCAGAAAACATTGACATTCATACCACAATAGAGGAATTCTATGGAAATGCTATGGAAAATTAACTTTAAGAATACTGGCTCATGATAAAAATTGTGTAAAAATTATGTATGTTGCCTTAGCGCTTCTCAAGAAAAGCCTTTCTAAAAGTCTCACCAATAGTTAGAGAAAATCGTTGATCATGAAAGTATCATGTTCCATTATTGAACTTGAGAAATCAGCACACAGATGAGGAGGGAAGTTCACCACTTACTTTGCCTGATCTTTTCAGAAAGCATCCTGCAGCCTCTGGTATCTGAGGGGTGCTGAAAAATAGGGTAGGATCAAGGCTGCAGCAGTATTTTACCACTGATATTTTTTAAGCTGATGATAACGGATCATTTTAAACATCTCAATGGATCTCAAAAGACATCACTGAACTTGTTTGTGTCAACAGATACAGTGAAGCATAGTATTTGCTGCTTCTCTTCTGGAAGTCACTGGAGTAATTTGTAGTCACTGGAATAATTGGATGGCAAAAAAAGCTATTTGCTGCTAAATAGAACTATGCTGAGGACTGTTCTCTGGCTCATGCCACATAGCACCACCTAGTTGCATGAGCTTCACCTAATATTTGGCTGTTGGCCTTCTCTGGGCCTACTGTAGTTCTGCTGTGATTCTTAAATATACCTGTTTTGTGTGTGTTTTTCCTAGCTCAAAGTGTCTGAAATAAATTCTAAGTGCTGTGGTACTGTCCACCATGCTGGTGCTTGCGTGAAGCCAACCATAGATGTCACGTCTTGTGGTGTGGCATGATGCCATGTAGGCTTGTTTTAGAGCACATAGCTCTCATGGATGATGTTGGAGGACTGTGCGTGGAGAAGGAGCCAAACCTGTGTAGTCTTGCCCATAGTGCCTACTGGGAATACTGGGAACTCTGGCATGTGCTACCCTGCAACTCTGCCAGAGCTTTGTCTTGAAACAGCTTGTTGGAAGGGCCAGAACTGTGCTATGAGCCTGCTAACAATTAAGCCCTGTGGACAATCAGCAGCTCATTGTCTGAGCTTTCTCCTGGCCTTGTCACATACAGCAGTGCAATTACAGGCAACAAGGGCTTCTCTTGGGACTGTTTAACCCCAGCGGGGAACTGAGCACCAGGCAGCCACTCGCTCACCCC